CCTTACAGGGACTCGGGTAATTGCATCGTGGGTCTTTTTAAATGCAGAATAATGCACACACAGCTAAAACATTGAAGGAGTTGCGGTATTGAAAGTATGGAGCCCTAGGACTGTACTCTCACAAGGTGACCGACTAGTGCTTAAATAAAAGACCCATTATATTGACATACTCCTCCATCTATCCATCCATGAAACATGGAACTGGAGACAGTGTGGGTGGCATTCCAGTACCTTGCAGTGCACACTCTCTCTCACGCACTACAGTGAACCGAGAGACACCAGTCCCCATAACATGCATGATTTTGTAGAAAAGTGGCAAAAACACAGGAAAGCACGATGACTCAAAATTGCACAGAGCTGGGCACGAAATCAAACCCGGGACACTGGGAGGCTGTACTGGTAACCACTGAGCTACCATGCCGGCCACATCATACCTGCATGACACCTTGGAATTTATGCCATTAGGTCATTCCTCAATTAAAATAATGCACTGACTTCTTTAAAGGGGCCCTATTATGCTCATTTTCACAGTTCAGAATTTTATTTTTGGGGTCTACTAGAATAGATTTACACGTTCTAGTGTTGAAAAACCATTTCTCATACTGTACATCTATTTTCACTCTGTCTATAGCTCTGTCTAAAACATTCTGTTAGAGCTGTAAACCCCACCCCTGATAAGCCCAGTGTGCTCTGATCAGTCTGCTTGCCCGACTGGTCAGCTTGCCCTACACGTTCCACCCCGGTCTTTCAGTCTGCAGACAAATCCTTGTAGGTAGGCGGCCAATAAGGATTGTGTTACGAGGTGACCTCACCAGGTAACTTCCGTTACCTGGTGGGCATGTACAGGTGGGCATGTAGAGTTGTGCATCCAGTAGAAGAACTTGGTCTGTGAAAGGGACCAGCTGAAACACAATTAGCCAAACACTTGACTTACATAAAATTTTGTACTGCTACATAATAATGAGACTGCAGAATGCCTGGAGTGACTGAAGTTTCAGCTGTGGCTTTGCAGAAGGAGGGACAGTAAAGAGCAAGGGGGGTGCTAAGATAATGCCAAACTTTTGATTAGTATAACTTATAAATAAATTTGCATGCAATTTAAATTGTTATATGCTGAAAAAGCCTGTATTGAATATAAAAACGTTCTTGCAGTGACCCAGCACCTTCCAAGGGATGAGACCTAGAAAAATCACAGGTTACCTCAGGCTTTCATTGTCAGATCTTGGCGGCTTTGATGCGAGAAGGCAGATGGGTCCTTGAAGGAGGCTCCACAGTAAAAGCATTCGGAGGGTCCTCCATACAATGAATCACAACGATGGCACTAAGGGATATGACTCCAGCAAGCATTCTTAATCTTCTTGGGACCGCAGTGTTTACCCTGAGTCTTAAACAATGATGACTGTGTTTCCCAAGCAACAAAATTAGATTGAGTGACAGTATCACCAGTGACAACAACAGCTGCGCTGGGGAAAAAAGCTCCACTTAGGAGAGAAACATGTCCAATTGCAGCTTTATTACCAGGTTGAAGAGTGTTAGGGGCATTATTGCCGAAGGACAAGTACATATTTCAGTAATGAAAGTGTTGCATTAATGGCTATTTCAATCATTTCTATCACAGGTGTCTAAGCGGGATACAGTGAGAGCAGAAAGTGACAGGCAGTGTCAGGAAACAGAACACAGGCACTGATACGAACATTCAGTTGATTAGTTATGGGATGGACATGCCACTGATGAAGCAGAGAGCCCGAAATGGCAACACTTTCATCCAGAGAGATCTGTGTCAGGGCAAGGTGATGCTACGTCTGTCTTTATATGAAAAGGTTTTATTTTTATAATATTTTATTCTCTTTCTGTTGTTTTCCTGCTGTCACTGGCAGGAAAATTTACACTTACAGCTGTTGAACTGTTGAATTATCTATTTTAGGTGCCTGTATTATGTAGCTCCCTCTCATCCACTGTATACAGTTAGTTTATAGACTTGTCGGTCCAATGCATCTCGCAGATGCTTGACACGCCCCCGGCTGTCCACATGATGCAACAGAAAACGGGATTCATCGTCCAGGCACCTTCTGCCATTGCTCCAAGGTCCTTTTCAGACACGTGCCTGTTGTAGGCGCTTTCAATGGTGGATGGGGGTTGGCACAGGCTCTCCGACAAGTCTGATACATGGCTCCATAGCCTCATACACAGCTGGACTCCATGCACTGTGTGTCGTGACTCATTACTCCCATGACCATCATCGAAATGACCCTGCTTTTGGTTTGTACCGCACAGGTCCCTGTCCGTGGATTGTGGTTTTTCTCTCGGACTACCCTCAGTAGGTACTCCCCATGACTGACTGTGAGCACCCCTTAAGCCTTGCTGTTTTGGCGATGCTCTGACTCACTTGTTTGACTTGGCCTTTGTCAAAGTCACGTGCATCTTTATTCCTGCCCGTTTCATCTGCATTCAATATGTCGACTATGAGGAACGAAGGTTAGCTTACAGTCTAATATATCCCAGACCATGACACGCACCGTTTATAGTCAACACTCTTCCCTTCACATGGGGGTGTTTAAAATATTTCGGCTCATCGTTGTATTACTGTAATGCTGGCCTTTGGTATTAATTGAGCAGGTGGATCAAAGCCACAGATCAGTCTTCACCATCTGGGCGGTGCCATATCCAGCGATATGCCACGTAATCCTAGTTTATCCCCAGTTCCCAGATTCCTTATGCATCTCGGTAAAGCAGCAGCTTCATTGTCCCCCGCTGAGCCGAGTTGCGCTGATCTGTGTGGCGGGAGTCGGCGACCGTGCCTTTGTTTCTCCATGATTCATCCTGCTTAAGTGGAAATGGCCGCGCCGCCCCGCCGCCAAAGGAGGACCGTCGTTCCACCGCTCTGTCACTTGCTTGCGGCACGGTCCACCTCGCCTTCAGTAACTATGAACACGGGGGATCCGTATCGGGTGCCTTCCCTCGCAGGACCGCTTCCCCCTTCGATCTGTTTGTTTGTGCCTCTGCTTCTTAATTATTCCGAGGTAGCTGAATCGTTTTAGCCGCTTAAGAGGCGGAGGAGCACGGGCGTCAGCGTGCCGAGGTAGAGGCGGACGGCGCACGGGTGCGATTTGCGCCGCTTTGTGCGCTTATGACAGCAGCTCTTCAGCCTGCTGCTCACATCCTCTGTAATTCCATCGCACAAGGCCTGTCCTACATGCTGGCTAATTCATCCTCCATAAATGCTAATTGCTCTGATAATTGTGCTTTAATGAGAAAGAGGCTGGCAGCCAGCAGTAGGCAGTGCAAACGTCGTTTTCCCCTGGCAAACCGAAGTGTTTACCCGACACGCAAACTCAAATATCCCCGTCGCATCGGGCCGCCCCATGACACGCGCGGTATTGACCCAGATCGGTGACAGGAAGTCACCGGCCTGGCAGCTGCACAAACTTGTGCCACAGAGGCGTCCGACAGTATTTACACCGCCGCTGGCAGCCAGATTATTTGCCCACAGGTGAAACCAGACCAGGCCCACAGCAGAGAGCAAACAAAGACATCGGCTCTCTGCCCACATAGGAAGGAGGTCTGAACCACAGCCACAACGGGCTACAGACGGGCATGAAACGGCGGCGTGCGGCAGCGCCGGGAAAGCTCCCTGCGCCCTGTCAAAAATACCACGCTTGGTAGTCGGACGCAGTGCCCTGGTATATAAATAAGACAGCAGTCATGGTGCAGGCATGGCATGCCAGAGTCAGGCGCCGCTGTGAGCCTGCCCTCAGAATGATACAGGAGAAAGGCAGTAGCAGCTAGGATGCATATGGAAGGGGGGGGGGGGAGCAGAACTCCCTATAGGGCTCATTAAATGCCTCTCAACCTCCCGCACTTACCCTGTGGAAAATAACCACAGGAAATAAGAGAGAAAGTGCAATGGGAAAGGGGCCACATGCAAGCTCATGCATAGATAAAGACCCCCAGCGAGGGGCAGGCTCTACCCTACATGCACGCGCTGCCCTTATTGCACCGATTTTCTCAATGGAGCTCGTTGCCTGTTTGCAGCGCCACCGGTTGGGCATTTAAATCAAGGCACCTGCCTCTTTAATCCTGCCCAGGTGCTCTGGAATGTTACCTTACAACACAGACTGTAAACAGAGGTGTCACCTGCCCATTTAATCCCGCCCAGTCACCATGGTATCTTATTGAAGAATACAGACTGTAAACAGAGGGGTCACCTGCCCCTTTAATCTCGCCCAGTCACCATGGTATCTTATTGAAGAATACAGACTGTAAACAGAGGGGTCACCTGCCCTTTTAATCCCGCCCAGTCACCATGGTATCTTATTGAAGAATACAGACTGTAAACAGAGGGGTCACCTGCCCCTTTAATCCCGCCCAGTCACAATGGTATCTTATTGAAGAATACACTCTAAAAACTTACAAACAACCCAACATGGGTCATTTTCTAACCCAACTTTGGTTGTTTCAACTCAGCAAGGTTGGGTTAAGGGCTTAACCCAACATGCTGGGTTGCGTTTTAAGCCCAAATTTTGGGTTAAAATGACCAAATCTCTTGGTCAAAATCACCTCAACACTGGGTTGAAAATGAAATCTGTAAGTCTTAATTGTAGACTATACATTATAACTTTATCTATGCTGAAAATCAATTTAAGGCTCTTAAATGCACCCAGCCACTCACCAACCCAAAGTAAAACAAAGTAATACACAAAAAGACTTTTATTCCTTAAGAATGGAATTTTTTCACTTTTAAGATTGTAAAAGATCAAAAAAAGTAATCAAAAAGTAAAACGGAATAACTCCCAATTAGTCTTTCATGAAATATTGACATAGAGGATTAATTGAAAGATTAACATGTATGCGATTAAACTAGTACACAGTACAAAAAAGTTCAGAAAAAAAAATCACATTCACATTAAATCACATAAAAATATGCTGAACTTCCAATTACACCTTTCCATGGAAGTTAAAAATATATAGAAAAATCAATTTTTAGATCACGCTAAATAACATCCAATTTTAGGCTTCTGTAGAACTGAATGTGTGATTGAAAAATCAAAAAATAACATTTTAATTTTTTGCAGGATATGCATTGGGTGTGAGCTATGCTAAAACGTGTGCTCTCACCATTCGTATTGCTGGGGACTCATCTCCAGGTAGCTCATACACAACAGTTTGCAGGAATTCCCATACTTGTGCACACTGCTTGAGATATTTAATATCAAAGACATAGAATGCTTTGAAACAAACGTCCACAGCCCCCAGCAGCGTACTCTGCTCCAGTGCCTGTCCATTGATTATCACAAAGGCTTGCGAGCACATGGCATTTTCACCGAGCATCAGAACAAAGGGGCATGGTTGGCTCTCCTCGGCTTTGCACAAGTATTCAGCCATATTGGTTCCAACCTGTTTAATAGAAATTATATGAGGCTACACAAGGAATTTGACAGTAACGTGTGCAGTTCACAGCAGAATGAATGACCTCAAAAGATGTCCCCAAAAGTAGGGAAATTTCAGGTTTTACTACACATTGGGGACAATTTAGTCCTCAAATGTGATCTATGCAAATACACACACACACACACACACACACACACACACACACAAAATCAGCTTGACTTACAGGCTGTAGATGAATGAAAGCCTTTCTGGTTTCTGTGAAGCTTGGTTAGAACATTTTTCTCCTGAACTTGTATGCTGATGTTGGAAGTATCACTGGGAGCACTTGTAGAGCAATGTCGCCTTGTATGCCTGCAAATTAAACAAATCACATTATTACCAAGACAACTGGCAATTATGTATAATTTTACATTTGTGAAAATAACTGATAATGTCATATTTCATTTTGTATAACAAATAGAGTATAGTTTTCCTTTTACATACAATATGCTAAACTGCTATACCTGCTGACAGAGAATCAAAGTTTGAAATCAGATGTAGAGCTCGCTTCTCTCTGCTTGCAAGCTGAAGGATCTTCTCTTTGAAGACTGGCATCCAGTTCACAGTGAGCTTTTCACCACAGTTAGGGTACAAAGTTGAGAAGTCCTGAGAAATCTACAAGTACAAGAAGGAAGACGTCAAAGCAAATATTACGTGGGGAAAAAAAAAGTTTTTACTAAATATAAACCAATCCTGGTCTATCATTTCCTCTGTAAAAAAGACAGTATGCTAATGCCAGCTGCCAATCATAAGGTCACAATAGCAAAAGGAAGTCAGGAGAGAAGCTGGCACAGAACACTAACGATATGTGAAGAAATATAGGTTAAGGAACAAAGAAAACCTTGCCTTCCAATAAATGAAATGGAAAAGCAAAAAGAACATTAAAACAGGTTGCATAAAAACTCATAAATCTGTTTAAAACTTTTTTTTGCCCCACTGAAAGAGAGATTATATATTAAACAGAAGAAGGTAATATGCACATACCTTCAAATTTGGGAATTAAAGATGCTAAACTCCATTCAATCAGCTTGGTTCTTACAAAGTTATCCATGTCACTGCATAAAAAATACATTTTAACATTGTATGAAAAATTCTTAGTAATTGATGAAAACTAGATGCATCCTACAGCTAGAAATAGAGCTAAAAGCTCGATATTTGCATGATCCGTGTCGAGTTGATGTGCTGTAACGTCTATCAGCCTAATTTATCAAATTCAGACAGTATTTAGTAGGCATTTTACCGTCGCGTCCTTTCCTTAAAGTTTGTTAATTTTGTCCATTTGACAGTAAAATCTGAACTCTGTTAAAGCATAATGGTGTGAGGAGAAAAAGGCAGCTCAATTTTTTTTGAAGGTGGCTCACAGCCCCAGTACTTTTGGCGCACTCGCAGGGCTCCACAGCAGGCTTGACTGAAAAAGATCGGATGATAACACAAGGCTAATATAACAAACTGAATTTAAGTTAATGACAATATATTCCTCAATATACCAATAATGTTAACGTCCCCCCACTTTAAACGTTCTGCTTTCCATAGACCTTTACGGAGCCCCTAAGGGGACAAAGGAGGACAAAAAAAATGGCAGAAGAAAAAAAAAGAAGTCATGTTTTGCGTTATAACCCAAAACCTTTGCGTTATAACCCAATGCAACAATAAAATCAGGTGACTAGCCTACTTTTGGTCATTCAAGTGCAACTTCCAAAGCCGCCGTTTGCATGATGTGGTTGATCCCCGCTTTGCTTATTAATCTAATTTAATGGTTTAAAAAAAACTTTAGAGTTCAGTGTGGTAAGATTTGATTGTTTAATTCATAATTTGTCATTTGTAAAGCAAGCCTTGGTAAAGTTTCAGTAACATTGCTAATTAATGCTAATCTGTTGAGGTTGATTTAAGCCTAAAGAATTGTTCGTTTTTTGTTGTTGTTTCATGTTTATAATAAATTAATATAATTAATATAAATCAAACGCACATCCTCTTTTCTCACATGAAGTCCAGTTATTCTGCATTTTGCATACATCCATGAATGCAAAACCTGCTCGCGAATAAAGTTAATTACATCACCAAAGTCGGAGTAGTTTTTCCATTGGAATAATCCCCTTTCACATAAAATCCTCTTAATCTGCCTCAGACTTATGTGAACATCATGCCTAGATCCGAGAACAAACTGAATGTCCATATATTGTAGACCAAGATCAAAGTAAAATTCGGTTAAACGCTCCATGTTTTCCATGTTTACACTGACTGATTACTCATGCATATTTCCAGTTCAAAGTCACAACAGTTTTGCCTTTTGTCGCAAAAGTTTTGGGTTATAACGCAAAGGTTTCGGGTTATAACGCAAAACATTACTTTTTTTTTTCTTCTGCCATTTTTTTTCTCCTCCTTTGTCCCCTTAAGGCCTCCATAGACCTTTAAAGTGCATTCACAGTTTTTGTGAGAGTTCTCTTCAGACATTTTTAAGCGAAACAAGACGGCTAAGTTAACTATAATATTATTGGTTTAAAAATTAAGATTAAATCATCACAAACACAGAAGTATAAAAGTATTCATTCGGTACACGAGGAATGCGTGTTCCGTCACAGCCCTAATAGCCATAACAGCAAGGTAAACTTGAGAATACAAAATAACTCACTTGTTCTATAAAACATGAAAATAATAAATTCGACTAAGTTAAAAATTAAAATATGTACTTATATGTATGTAGTATATGTGTTGTGAAAAAAGAAAGACTTACGTATAAAGTTACAAATGCAACCACTTTGAACAGCACCTCTCCCCTGCGTTGGCGTGCAAACAGTTACGTGACTCCTGTTCCCCTTCAGGTCCGCATTCTATACCTAGCAGGCTGGGTTACAGGTATTAAGGAATTGTCAACCCTATTTGGTTCAAAAGTGCTAATCCAGCATCCTCTACCCAGCATTTGGGTTGTTAAAACAACCCAGTGTTTTTAAGAGTGTACAGACTGCAAGCAGAGGGGTCACCTGCCCCTTTAATCCCGCCCAGTCACCATGGTATCTTATTGAAGAATACAGACTGTAAGCAGAGGCATCACCTGCCCCTTTAATCCCGCCCAGTCGCCATGGTATCTTATTGAAGAATGCAGATTGTAAACAGAGGTGTCACCTACCCCTTTAATCCCACCCAGTCGCTATGGTATTTTATTGAAGAATGCAGACTGTAACATGAGGCATCGCCTGGCCCTTTAATCCTGTCCAGTCGCCATGGTATTTTATTAAAGAACGCAGACTGTAACATGAGGCATCGCCTGGCCTTTTAATCCTGCCCAGTCACCATGGTATTTTATTGAAGAATGCAGATTGTAAGCAGAGGCGTCACCTTCCCTTTTAATCCTGTCCAGTCGCCATGGTATTTTATTGAAGAATGCAGACTGCAACATGAGGCATCGCCTGGCCCTTTAATCCTGCCCAGTCGCCATGGTATTTCATTGAAGAATGCAGATTGTAAACAGAGGCGTCACCTGCCCCTTTGGTACCGCCCAATCTTATTTAACAATGAAGACTTTAAGATGAAGCATTATCTGCCCCTTTAATCCTGCCAGGTTGCCATGGTATCTTATTGAAGAATACAGATTGTAAATTGAGGCATCACCTCCCCCTTTAATCCCGCCCAGTTGCCTTGATATCTTATTGAAGAATACAGACTGTAAGCAAAGGCATCACCTGCCCCTTTAATCCCACTCAGTCGCCATGGTATCTTATTGAACAATGCAGACTGTTAGTTGAGGCGGTCACCTGCCCCGTTAATCCTGCCTAGTTGCCCTTGTATCACTGAACAATGCAAACTGTTATTTGAGGTGTCACCTGTCCCTTTAATCTTGTCCAGTCACTGTGGAGGTATCTTACTTAACAATGCAGACTGTAAACTAAGGCATTGCCTGCCCCTTAAGTCCCGCCTAGTTGCCATGGTATCTTATTGAACAATGCAGACTGTAAGCACAGGCGTCACCTGCCCCTTTAATCCTACCCAGTCATAGTGGTATCTTGTTGAACAATGCAGACTATAAGCAGAGGTGTCACCTGTGCCTTTAATCCCACCCAGTCATCGTGGTATCTTGTTGAACAGCGTAGACTGTAAGGTGAGGCATCACCTGCCTCTTTAATCCTGTCCAGTCAACGTGGAGTCTTACTGAACAAGGCAGACTGTAAGCAGAGTCGTCAGCTGCCCCTTTAGTCCCACCCAGTTGTCGTGGTATCTTATTAAACAGTGCAGATTGTAAGCAGAGAAATCACCTGCCCCTTTAATCCCACTCATTAGCTGCAATCAGTCGCTGTGGCATCTTAGAGATATCCCCCTGGACCTTCTGTGACACTGGTCAGTGCATGACAGCTCCCTAGGGGATTGTTTTTGTCAGTGTTTCCCGAGAGGAGTTGACCATTGTCAGTTTCACTCTGGGAGTCACCTGATGCCTGCATGACTCAGTGCATGCTTGATGCTGTCTATCAGAGTGCATGAACCCTGTGTCACCCAGTGAATTGTGATTCACTTATGTAATGTCTCATGTTACACTGGCCATGATAATTCCAGACACTGTAATTTACTATATTTACCATAAAAAAATTATTGTACCTGAGTTGTGCAAGACAGAGTGATTATAATATTATTTTTCTTGATATTTTAACTGCCGTTAACTTCGATTCTTCCATTTTAATGCTCTTTCTTGTATTATGTATCATTCTTCCTGCTTGTTTTCTTTCTCCTCCTCTCTTCTTAATTTCACACACAATCACACCATTTCATTCAGTCACACCATCCCATAATGCCCTGCCCCCCCTGGGACCAGCAAAGCATTGCTAAGGCAACCAGCAGCAAGCTCCGCTAAAGAACTCGTTGCCATGCCAATGGTGCTGACTGCGTGCAAACTGACGGGGAGGGAGGAAGGGAGGGAGGGAGTTAGGGAGGCAGGGAGGGAGCGAATGAGTCGGGGAGGAATGATGACATGTATGCTGGCCGCCACCTTCACGCGGCCGTACTGTACACGTCACGGCCTGACAGGCCATGCAGCGGTGCTGCCAGCTGATGAGAGCAGGGATCTGCAGCCCTCTTCCACTCCACCATCTCACCTGCCCTCCGCTCAGTGCAGACGCCCCCTACAGGCGCACCTTTGTAAATGTATATGAATGCATGTATGTTAGTATGCATATACATGCTTCATATGTTATGGGAGTGGCTCACGCTGTGACTGCATCTGCATGTCTCTCACTTAGCTGATGCTCTTCTTCAATCCCACTAACACAGATGGATATTTTGTCTTTAAGCATCATGCATGACAGATATATGAATATATTATACCTATATATATACAGCCCAGCAGAGGAACCGTATTAATACTGTGAGAGAGCATTCTTGTGGATGAATTCCATAGCAGAATTGCTTTTCTCTAGCGCAGTAGGTAATGGTCTTTGTGCTGCTGTTGGTTGGTGCTGTGTGTGCATCAGTGTGTAATGTGGGAATGAAACATTGTTCACTGGTTTAGACTCAGGAGACCTGGTGGGTGGTTTTTATTCGGTATACTGCAGTGTGTATTGCTAACTGAGTGCATTAAATTATTTTGCAGCTTTCTCTAATCCAAAGGGCCTTCTTGTGTGTAACGTAACTGCTAATTGAATTCTAGCACTGGTTTGTTGGATTTATTTCTTTGATTGTTTTTTTTTTACTCTATACTGCCATTTTTGAGTATTGATCAGATACATTACTCATAAACTAATTACAAAGAGCAATTAATAATGTGGTGTTAATAATTGTAAGGTGTTACATTGTTTTCTTAAATAATTAGTAATTAACTAAACTAAATGATTAATTTCAGTGCAGTTTTAATGTTTTGTAGGCTGCATTATTAAGCTGTAATAAGAACATAAATTTGCCGAATCAGTGCACATTTGTGCCGTGATCCATTTAAAGCTTATGACAGGCTCATTACTGACTTGTAACTGTTATGGCAGCAGTATTTCTCAACTGCTCTGTAAAGAGAAATTAATTAGGCGGCAGACTGGACAACCTGCAATACTGGTATTATTTGAAAGTTTTTTCTGTAATGAAATATCATTTATAGAAGTGTCAGTTTCCTGCACAATGAGAGTAACGGAATTGAACATATAATAATGTAGACCTTTAAGAGGTTAATACAGCACATATCCGTGTCATTTTTACCCCTTTAATTCTTGCTGCTGTATTTGTCTAAATACACAGTGGTTTGTTATTTCGCCGTAGTGATAAATCACTTTAACATATTTATACTCCCAGCATATTTTACACAATGTCTCCCCCTAGTGTCCCTGAGACTGCCTGGCATCAGTAAGAGTGTTGTAGCACAGCATAGGCATACAGGACACATCATCACCATGCACATTTATGTATAATTCTTACTGGAACAAGACTCCAAATTATATACAGTATATATAATTTGCTGCTTGACGACTCAAATGGTAATCCAATTTGTATAAATTCCAAAGCAGTTTTACAGTCTTTCTGCCGACATAGTATGGAGCATGTCTACAGTCA